ATTGATTCAAAGAATGATCACCACTCTTGTAATGAAATTTTAGTTTTTGGTGGTATATATAAGGATACAATTGTAATTTTAATATTGCTACATTTTAATAAAATTGATTTTTGATTAACATTCGCTAAGTAGTATTTAATGGGAATTTCATCATAAAATATGTTGGATTTAACTAAAATCGCTGTTCCTCCTCCAAGACGATCCACACGATCGTCTCTTAAGATATTGTAATTTTTAAATTTGTAGATTATTTGAGGTTTAAAATACGTTTTAGAAATACAAGCAATATCAATTTTTTGTTCATTTAGTAGGTACATAAGGTTTTGTTTATTTGAAACAGCTGATCTACAATTCCACTGACACAATGTAATATTACCAGTACTAGCCATCGAATTCAAGAGTCTTTCCTATAGAACTTGATAAATTTTGTTTAATTACATTTAAAATAGTAGATTCTTGAATTTCGAAATTTATACTTTTAATAATTTCGATAAAACAACTCGTAAAATAATTTGGAACATATTATCACTTGTCAATTTTCCCTCTATATTTGATGAACTTAATGTAGATTTATATTTAGGAGAAGAAAGGATTCCTCCTTAACTTTTTGGAATATTAGTATTAGATATAATTTCTTTGTGAGCTGAAGAAATAGGGTTAGAGTTGATAATACGGGGTCTGTTATTAGTTTTCGGTGAATTTATAGGTTGTGAGAATGATCTGAATTTAGAAGTGTGAGGAAAAGTTGAATGAGAGATAAGATTGGATACGATATTAACTGGTGAAGGAGATGTGCTAGCAACTGAGTTTACATTAACAAAGGAAGGCTGTGATAATGATTTATTTGGTTGACTTGAGGAAGATGAGGACACTATAGAAGCATACGTGTGTTGAGAAATTTCTTTAGAAGCATCTTTATACGAGCAATTAGTATTTGACATATAACTTTTAATATTTTTTTGTCTCTTAAATTTTGGACATAAGTCCAGATCTGTAGTACGATGATTTCCCTGACATACAAGACATACCTTATTGTCATTATTCTGACAATATTCTGAGTTGTGATTTTCTCCGCATTTTATACATCGAACCTTGTTTCTACATTGACGATCCATATGGCCATATCTATAGCAATTGTAGCAAAGTAGCACTACATTATATAAAACTTTGTTAATTAAAATATATTTTGGTAATGTTTGGGATTTAAATGAGACCAATATTGTTCTTGTAGGTTGAAGTTCAGTTGAATCATTATCTTTCTTAATTTTTCGATTAATGCGTCTAACAAAATCTACTTCGAATTTACAATGCAAATCATAGGGCGAAATCCTACTTTTTAAATATTCTTCTGACAAATACACATCTATTTGTTTGACCACTCCTAATCTAAATAATAAATTTTTTTGTATAAATGCACCTAAGTCATGCTTTTTTAAGTAAGTAGAAGATAGCAAAACGTTGGCGCTTAAATTTCTTTCAAAATTATTCTAATTCGGTTTTTCCCAATAGATTGAATTTGTTTTATTTTATTATCAATTTCAGAATGAGCTCTTAAAATTATTTCACCTATACCTTTATAGTATTTAATTTACCTTCAAAATTTGTCTTTATATTTTCAATGTATACATGAAACGGACCTATATCCGTTGGTTGGTATTTAAAACATGGTCTCATTTTTTCAATATTTGGCGACTCTTTCAAAGGTAATTTAGTAAATGGAACGTTGACATTACTTACCGGATCTTGGTTAACATTTTTTTGATCTAATCTTACTTTTGGCGATTCTTTCATTATGGCATCTACCTCCATAACTGATTCGAATTGGGTGTTAGTCCAAGTTGAAGGGTCTCCTCAGTCAGGTGGTTTTTCTGGGGGGACTGAGCCCCCGTTAATAGAGCCCATTAAATAGAGCGCACTATAGTACCTAACTATTTAAAAATTTGAAAACTCACAGTACAAACTAACTATTAACGAAACAGAAATACAGATAACTAAACTAGAGACTCTCAAAATTAATTATATCAGACGAGAAATATATTTATCGAATGACCAAAGAAAAGGTTGGTTCTTGGGGAGATATATCTCGCGATTTTAATGGATTGTCTGGTGAAGAATTTAGAACAGCTGAATCTTTAAAAAATGAATACACCAACATAAAAAAAGGTCTAAAAAACGTTTATCTGACCACAGACAGAATCTTTATGGAACAGGAGGAGGGCCATTTAAATAAACGATGTTGATCCTATAGATAATGATGTCCAAGAAATTCTTGGGGACAGAGCCGTTGGATTTGTATCGGAATTTGATGGCGATAGTAATATTGAAGTGGTATATGATAAAGGTGAGAAAAAAGATAATTTTACTAGCAAAAAAATGAGTGACAATTCAGATGAGGATCAAGAAAAAACTCAGAATCTCTACAAAGCAGAGTCCCCCCAACTACAAGTACCATTGATTGCACAGGATCTTTTTCACAAACAGAAAGGAAAAGAGGTCATTCTGAAGTTGGCAAAGATAGATTTTTCACATCTTGGGCCTTAAAAATGTCACTACTTTGAAGGCAAAAAGGCAAATGGGTGACTTAAAAACAAAAATGGGTACATGGGTAAAGGAAAAAGAACAAACCCAACAAGTCACCCAAAGGTGCCTTATAAATGAACACGTGCAAAAGCTGAGGCATGCGGATGAATTGCATAAACAAACACTAATGCAGGGAGCAGAGGAACATAAACAAAAATTGGATATGAACCAAGAATTACATATTATCAAATTAAGATGAAGTAAAAAAAAATAATATATGTATTAGTTGTAATAAAAAATGTAACTAAAATGTATTTTGTTTAGTTGAAATATTTTAGTTAGTAATTAAAGTTACTTCAGTAATAAAACATTTTTACTCTGTAGATTTTATTAATTATAAACCCAAGTAATTTATTTATGTTTAATTTGTTTTTAACATGCTGAAGTACTTGAAATTAGAATAAAGTACAAACAATACTTAATTAAAGACGATTATAAAAGTAATTATTAATCAAGTTGTATTTTCTTACATTATTTAATGTAAAACCACGAAGAGTATTATTAGGGTAAGCAACTAAATTCACATTCATCGTGTGCCTAATAATCGTAGCAGCAGCCACCTCTTCATCTACTTCAGCTTCGGGCTCTCCTGCCTGCAGTGCAACATTATGCAACACCGCACATGATATTACTATTGCTTCAACTTTAGAAACGTGTAAACGAACACCTAGTGCCAGAACAGGGAGTCGCTTTTTCAGTACACTAAAACATCGCTCTATTGGATTACGGATTCGAATTCGGGAGTGATGAAAAAGTTGTTCTGCAGGTGTTGCAGGATTTAACAGTGGTGTTATTAAATAATTTTTAAGTGGATAACCACTATAGCCTACAAGCACACTTTCTATTTCAAATTCACCATTTTCTAATCTGCCACGTTGCCTGCAGTTGATGAAAATTGTGCTGTCATGTGTTGATCCAGGCCATCTACAATGTCTTGAATATGTAATTTACTATCACAAATAGCCTGGACATTAAAAGAAAAAAGCCTTTTCTATTTCTATTTGCTTGTTCACCTCCTGGAGATATTATTCGTATGTAAGTACAATCTATAGCCCCTATACACTTTGGAAAAAGAACTATATTATAAAATCCTTCTTTTACTTTATCCACTTCTCTCTCATTGGAAGGCATTTTTATTATTTTAATGCCTTGTGCAGCAATGTACCTTAGTACCCTTCCAATCAATAGGCTTGCTGTAGACTTATCAATTCCACAGAAGTCTCCTATAACTTGCAAGATAGATCCTGTTCAATAAAATATGTAAAATGCATATAGAGTATATACTCACAAATTTCTTAAGCAAGAAATATCTGCTCTGACTGAATCTATGACAATTCGAAAGTTTCTTTAGACAATCGAAATCTTCCCCTAAATTCCTCATTATTCCACTTTATAAAATGATTTTCCCTAAGACGAAAATTTCTTGGCTACCTTGGAAATACCACAAGATTTATTAATTCTAACAAATCTTCATCATCTGTCAACTCTTGCAAATTTTCCATTGAGAAATATCAATAAATAAATAAATTAACACGAAAATAAGTTATTACTTGTAAAATAGCTAAAAAATTTGACAGTTGTTTAGAGATCAGTAGTTTAAATCGTCAATGTTAGTAAGTTGATCTCTAGGTTAAACCATTTATATCATGTGATGTGATCTTAGTTTATACAACACGTTTTTGTAGCTTGGACCAGGATCAAGTCTGAACCAGGTTTAAACCACGTTGATACAACCCACCCTCAAGGGTTTAGTTCTCAAAATATTTAAAATTTTAAATTCAAAATATGCTTAAAATCAAAAACGCCTCTAAATATATATATTTATTTTATTTTTTTTTATGTTTGATCTACAAAGATCGTGTCAAATACACGAACTATTAAAAATTTGACACGTGCCTACTAGATTAGAATTTAGAAATATTGAGTAGTTACAAATTATCTAAGTACTTGCAGACTTCTGTTTAGAAGCAAATTTCTACAACACCATTCATTTTAGCTCCAAAAAAGGTAATTACTTTTTTAACTAAAAATGAACAAAAAATTAAAAAAAATGAAATAAATATTGTTCCAGTGGCGTAAAAAAGTTGCTACTATCCCTGATAGTGCGCCACTGATTAAACTTTTCAAAAGTTAGTTTATGCCAAAATATTTCTGCCTTAGGGAATATTTGACACCAAATTTGAAAAAATATTTAAAGGCGTTTGACATTTATTCAAATTTTGATTTAAAATTTTTAACCTTCTGTATTAACAGAACTCTCTGGGATAGAGCGTTGTCGATCTATTATACTAACAACCCGTACTTATAGCTTTGTTGGAATGGTTAAAAAACTGTAAATACTGTGAAACCAATTTATAAAACTTCTCTGTATAACATTTCTAAAGAGACCAATGGATACACTAATTTTTTTTATTTTTTAGAAAAATTTTCCTTTATGGATTAACGCAGACATTCTCTCAGGCCCCGGAAGAGCAGTAATTAAACCTGTAAACAGTACACAATTCTTAAGTATTGCTAAAATCCATTTTCCTGATATTGTTCTGTCCTTGGGATGGACTACAATGAATGTATCGGGTGGATACACTAACGATAACGTTAAAGCCATTATAGAAGTCATTAATTTGAATAAAATCACAAATATCATTACTTTCCCTGTTAGAGCGAGTTTGACTGCTCATAGTAGCCAACAGATGAAAATGTAAGTATAGTATAATTTTTAACATATAATGCATTATACAGTTTGTCCACGGATGAACTTAACTATACTTGTAAAAATATTTATTTTTAATAAAAAAAGTAATTCTTCATAACTTCTTTCTCTTCTTAAATAAATACGATGCACGTTGAAAAAATTATGACAAATTAATTGTTGTTTATGTAACGAAAATTATTTAAATTTATTATTAAAATGTTCTTGAAATCAAGTACCAATATCACAAAAGTAGAGGTATATATTAATAAGATTGGTATATTACAAAGTAACGCAGTTAAACATGTGCAATACTATATAGGCAACCAATAAAAGACTAAACAATAAGTCAAATCTTTAGGATAACAGTAGGTCTTCTTACCGGACATTGTTGCCTAAGAAGGCACATAAGCATCATCATTCCAGTAGAAGAAGCAACTTTGTGCAGGTTCTGTGAAGAAGAAGAGGAAACATCAATCCACGTTATGTGCCAGTATGGCTAGAAGATCTGGCTAGATTGAGGTTTCTAACATTAGGAGAAAAAAAAATTCAAAAACTACATGCGGGAGCCACTGCCAAAGCTAAGTCTAATAAAAAAAAACAAGCCAGATGACACACTCTAAAAAACGGAGTCCCACAAGAGATCTGAAAAGTGTAAAATTTTAAAATTCCTTTTAAAAATGTTATTTTGAATGTATGACATCCTGTATAAAATTGGCATTAAAATAATTTAAAATTTAATTGTGCGTGTGCGTGTGCGTGTGCGTGCGTGCGTGCGTGCGTGCGTGCGTGCGAGCGTGCGTGCGTGCGTGCGTGCGTGCGTGCGTGCGTGCGTGCGTGCGTGCGTGCGTGCGTGCGTGCGTGCGTGCGTGCGTGCGTGCGTGCGTGCGTGCGTGCGTGCGTGCGTGCGTGCGTGCGTGCGTGCGTGCGTGCGTGCGTGCGTGCGTGCGTGCGTGCGTGCGTGCGTGCGTGCGTGCATGCGTGCGTGGTTTGCCTTTAGGCCTTTTTTCATTTTTTTTGCGGTATTTGCCCAATAATCCTTTTATCTTTTATATATACTGTTAAAGATGGAACCAAACTTATAGTGCTTAAACGGTTCAACATACAAAACCCAAAATTTCAGGATTTCAACTAAATATATTTGCGCATATTTTAGCCCAAAAATTATTTTTTTATAATTACAAAATTTTAAGCATGGCCGCCATCTTGATTTTTAAATGGCACTGAGAACAAAATTTTATGACACATGGGGCCTAAACACAATATAAAGGATATTATTAATAGGGAGCGTAGGAGGCTGTGCATTTGACACAAGACCCATGTGTGATACATTTTTGTAATCAGGGTGTTAAACCCTTTCAAATGGTATATCACATGACCTATGTTGCTATTTAAAAAAATCAAGATGACGGCCATGATTAAAATTTTGTAATTATAAAAAAAAATCATTTTTGGGCTAAAATATGCGCAAATATATTTAGTTAAAATTCTGAAATTTTGGGTTTTGTATGTTGAACTGTTTAAGCCCTATAGGTTTGGTTCCATCTTTAACAGCTACTCTGTATATAATTTCAGGTTGCTTGAAGAATTCAGAAATTCAACACTAACTATTTGGTCTAGCCCCGGTGATACCGTTGATATTGAAGGTTTAAGAAACGTCATTTTCGATATCGGAGTCGATAGAATTTTCGTAGATGTTCCCGACGATTTAAAAGAGAAACTTCACTTGGATAAACCAGTTAATTCGAGAACAACTTTGACTAAAGGTATGTTTGTTTTGTATAGGTTTAGCATTATAAACCAACTTAAGAGCAAACCGGACCTATTGCGAAGGCAAAAATGTTTTAAGGATTTTCTAATATAAAATTGTATTTATATGCGCGCCACTGGGAATTCTTTATGATATTATGTGTTTCATGAATATTGGGTCCTATGATTGAACGTTTACGTTATCCGTAACGTACCTGTTAGGCCGAATTTTAAAAGTAACGAGGCAAGTTCGGATGATGGAAAACTGTTAAATTAGAAGATAACAGGCGGAAAATAACAGTAACGTGTTGAAAAAAAAAATTCATCATACAAATTTGCCTCATTTCTGTTAAAACTCGGCCTAACATGTACGTTATGGATAACGTAAACGTTCAATCATAGCACCCATTGAAAGCTTTAAATTTGGGAAACGATGATAGCATCCTACAATTCTCCCATTTAAAAACTACTAGATATTTATTAAAACAAAAAGGCAGCAATTTTTATAGAATTTATACAGAATGGCGCGTAAATGTTTTTTTTTATTTTTTTTTTTAATAAATTTTTTTCTTAGGTTTACAAAAAAGTTTTTCCTCCCTAAGTTTTGTTATTATTGGTATTTCCTGAAAATGTCACAAAAATATGACTATAAATAAAGGCTCAGAAGAAAATTTAACTTTTTAAGGTGCTCAGTTTGCTCTTAATTCACAATGCATATTTAAATTTACCAACATATAAATCCTTAAAACTAGACACGTCATTATAATGAATGTTTAATAGAGTTAGGCGATATTTCGTGAACTATTATTAAACTATTTTAGTCTTAGTAAACTGAAAATCTTTAAATGTTTTTCTATTGATTACCAAGCCCCTACCTACCAATGGCCAACGAAAAAATTGAGAAGTTACACCATCGTGTAACTCTACTTTTCCTTTGAATTGACGTTGAAGTTTATATATTTAAAGATTTTCACGTAGATAAATATTTAAAAATGCTTTGTGAATACGGATGGTTTATTTTACGATCCTTAAATGTGCACAATACAATCTAGGAATCCTGTATATTAACTATGAACTTTTAGTTAGTAATAATCATATCAATTTTTTAGATTCTATTTTGATTTTTATGGTAAATTTTAATTTTTATTTGCAGAAGTTCAGTGCTGATAAATCTAATAGGATCAATAAAATAAATACTATGTTAATTGACCCACTAAAACAACAGGTAAATGTTAAATGGTAGCATCCCTATCATTGAACATGCTCGATTTGATACAATTAAATAAATAATATTTAAAAATTAAATTATTGTACATTTTCATTGATTATTTTCCTTGTCTTGACACTCCCAAAATTTTTCAACCAAACGTTTTCTCGGTACTTTGGCCTTCTAATTTACGTATACAATACCGTCCGCAATGTTCTTATCTTTACGATCCTACTGTTTAAATTTGGTAAAAAAAAATAATTTACTGTCAACAAAGAGATAAATTTATGTCTAATAATGTTAGAATCACCGCTTCATCACTCTTTCGAAAATTTCACGTAATTTATGTTATCAAAAAGTTCTGTTTTTTAAATCAAGGTAAGTTCATATATTTAAATTGTTTTAGATTCTGATTAATTTTCGATCAATACCTAGTTTTTAACAATTTTCTTTTTAACTTTCATAGTCGTGTGTATTGCATTACATAATTTTTTAAATTAGAAATAATACTAATAATAAAACACATGACTTGTAGCATTATGATCACACTAAAATAGTAGATAACTTTTATAAATTGAGATTTTATTAATATTAAAAAAACTCCTAATATACATTTATCTCTGTCATTTGTTTAAAAGATTATATTATATGGTAGGTATATTTTTTTACAAATATGTCTTTGTTTAGCCTTGTAATATATTTCACATGATCGAAATCGATATAGAAAATTCTTGAAATAATGAAGACACAAGTGGATAAAGGTGTCATGTCGCAAAAATATTATTTCAAAAAAAAAAAGTTAAAAGTTTTACAATAATTGTATTATAGCCTAAGAGCCCACTGCAAATGTTTACCTTGATCTGATAACGAAATGAAATATGCCCCAAAAGCATGTAAAAACATTGTACTTTATACCAAATGGCACCTGTGCCAATCCTAATCCTGAGCAAAATGGTTAAAAAAACTATTTTATATTAAAATAATCACATAAGACATGACAGTGCTAATTTTGTTTGCCCTTAAAGTTTTCCAGAAATTAACATATTCAAATATACCTTGATATACAGGGTGTTAAAAAAAAGTGTCACAAAATGAAATGGTTAATAGTATGACCCAAAATAAGCAGAAAAGTCTTAATAAATATATGACCGCAAATTAACGGTTTCGGAGATACGGACCATTTTGTGTTTATAACAATTTTTTATTATTATAAAAAAACAATGATATTTATAAACAATCAATAACAACATAGAGTTAAATGAGATGTTCAATGTGCCCTCCCTCAATTTCAATGCATTGCCATTTGCACGACCGTACATAAAATGCATGTCAGCTAATTCAATATTAGTGTAAACAGGCATAACGAAAATTTATAAAATTATTCACCCACAACAAAATAATAACTGCAAATAGTATCTATGAAAAAACATCGGTAGACTCCGATAAGAAAAGCAAGTTTTTGAGAATGAAAAAAGATAATCAAAAAATGATACAAAACACAAAACACTCCGTATCTCTGAAACCATTAATTTGCGGACATATGTTTATTAAGACTTTTCTGCATATTTTGGCCCATACTACCCCCCGTTTTATTTTGTGACACTTTTTTTTTAACACCCTGTATATCGTTAAAGAGAAACATTTTCTTCCTCTCAGAGAGCGAGAGAGAATATATGTTTATTGTCCAAGTTAAAATACTTATTGACAAACACAATATTGTACAAATTACAAATAAATAAATAGTCATTAAAATATAAACAAACATTATTATAAATTAACATTAATACATACATCTAAAATAAAATAGAACAAAACAACCTAAAACACATATCACAGTGTCTCGTCATTATAAAATTCTGTAATATTAGGCATTCCAAACTGAATGGCTACCAGTGGGTAATGACCACTGATCTATATTATTTTACTGGATAGGATATAGGCTATATTTATCATACTAAAAATCCGTTCCACCAAGGAGACCGGAAGTGCAACACTGCTCGCCGATTTGGGCAAATTATGATGGGATCACATAACTGAATTTTGGGATAATTTGACATACCTAACCTATAATTTGATTAGATTTTCTTCTTATTCTTCTTCTATTTCTTTTGCGGGCAATGTCCTTTGGGACAATTCACCCCTAATTTAATTTTTTTATGAAAGAAAATATAAAAATGGAAACGTGAAGCCTATTGTGTCTTCACGAAAATAGTAATGCTGTTCGATACTACCTAAATAAATAAAAAATACATCTCATCGTAACTTGTTGACACAATTAAATGACAAATGTGATGACAACTGGAAATAGAGGTTATGTTAAATAACATCCGGTCCGCCATATTATTTGCTCAAATCGGCCAATTTTTTGGAACGTTTTTTAGAGGGCTATATCCTATCCAGTAAAATAATACAGATTAGTGGTAATGACAGGTTATGATATGGCAAAATTATGGCAACCCTGTAGGCCTGGTGATTAGACAAGTTCAATGAAATAGATAGTTACATAGATTGATCATCCATATTTTTCAAAATAAACATAAGCTTATGCCTTGAAGTAAAAATGTAAGCAATTATGTTTTTTAAATATCTAAAGGATGAAAATTGGTTTTAAAACACTTTTTTGCTAAACCGATTCAAATTAATAAATATTTGCCAGGCAATAAGGCCGCTCGCAAACGGCCAGCTTTGAGCAATCTATATAACTATATATGTATCATTGACCCTTTTAATGACAACATGTCAACAGGGTTGCCATATCTAAACTGTCACTCCCCACTGGTAGCCATTCGGGCAGGACAGGTCGTTGGAATGCCTAATTAAAATAAGGCCTAGTTAATAGAAATCTCCTGAGCAGCTTTCTAAAACAATTCTGTGACTCAACATCTGTCAAAGTATGTGATAGCCTATTGTACATCTTGATACCATTGTATATAAAAGAATCTCTTATAATAGGCAACTTCAAGTTACCCTTTTGGCGAGTTACACGGGATGTATTCGATTTTTATTTCGACTTGTTCTTATGGATCATGCAACAAGTTTCTAAGATAAATAAAGATGTTAATGTTAATATATCTTGTTTTAAGAACAGCGGTCTGCAGTGTTTGATGCACTTTGAAATTTTGTAATTTGAAATCATTTGGATGGAAAAGCAGATATACCTGTGTTGGCTAGACCCACCCCGGGACCTGGACACACACACACACACACGCACGCACCCACACACCCACCCCCCCACACACACACACACACACACACACACACACACACACACACACACACAAACACACACAAACACACACAAACACACACAAACACACACACACGCACGCACGCACGCACGCACCCACACACACACACACACACACACACACACACACACACACACACACACACACACACACACACACACACACACACACACACACACACACACACACACACACACACACACACACACACACACACACACACACACACACACACACACACACACACACACACACACACACACACACACACACACACACACACACACACACACACACACACACACACACACACACACACACACACACACACACACACACACACACACACACACACACACACACACACACACACACACACACACACACACACACACACACACACACACACACACACACACACACACACACACACACACACACACACACACACACACACACACACACACACACACACACACACACACACACACACACACACACACACACACACACACACACACACACACACACACACACACACACACACACACACACACACACACACACACACACACACACACACACACACACACACACACACACACACACACACACACACACACACACACACACACACACACACATCATCATCATCATCATCATCATCATCATCATCATCATCATCATCCCGAAAATAGTCAAAACGGATTCAGGGGACCTCAAAACGTAAAAATCCGTCGAAAACTCGAGGTCGAAAAAAATCATGATTCCTATACTTTCCTTATATCTGTATACAGATGGGAAAGTAAAAACAGCATTCTCTTTTATATAATAAAAAAGTGTTTTGTATAAGAACATTATATTATCTGTTTTGCTGTATTTATGGAAAGCCTGAATTGAGATACATTACAAATTATTATAAAAAAATGTTTTAAAAAATGGGGGAAAGAAAATTTTTTCGTCTGCAGAATGCAATACTGAGGCACCATAGGAAGGACCTCAGTAAAAAATGATTTTTTTTAAATAATAATAGGAAAATGTCAGCATTAAACCCACCTTTTTTCAAAATATAAATTTATAGGCATGTATTGTTTGATGTGAGACATGTCGGCGTTGTCTGAAAATAAATTGGAAGCCTTTTTTGGCATAGACACATTGCCGTTCAGCCAGACACTGAAATTGGAAGCCTTAGTAAATGAGTTTTAGTATGACGTTACAGAAAACTCATGCTCCTAAAAAAATACCAGTAGGTTTATTTAGAAAACGATTTCCCACTCAAAAGGAAGCTTTCGGCTCAAAATTTTGAATATATACACTAGCTAAAGTTCACTAAACAAGCATTTTGCAAATTTCATCCACCTGGGAGTAAATTTGTCTTCTGTCTTATAAAGGGTTAATGTTGGGGTGTCTATCTTAGGTCGTTTTACTATTGAAAATTTATACATTTATTATTTTCAATAAAATCCAATCAGGCCCGACGAGAGGGAGCGGTAGGGGGTAAAATCTGCAGTACCCAGGCCCAAAAAGGCCCAGCAGCTTTAAAAAAATATATTATATTATGTAGGGGACGTGCCCTTTCCAGTGTTTTGTCCCGGGGCCCCACCGTGGCTCTCGGCGGCCCTGAATCCAATCATGTAAAACAACCCCATTTTATTTCATCTCAAAAAAGGCGTTTAAAATTATTTTAACCTCGATTTCAAACAAATAAGAAAAATTAATAGTAAGACGACCTAAGTTCAACCTTTACCTACAATTTCACTCAGGATATGGAAAGATTACATATTTTCCGATATCAGTCGATTTGAAATGTATGTCATTTTCTTTGGAATTTCATGTCAAATCAAATAAAAGTGATA